TTAAACCAGCTATTCCTCTACTGGGAATTTTCCCAGAGGATCTGAAATCATCATATCATAGTGATATATGTGTACCTATGTTTATAGCAGCACAATTTGTGATAGCCAAATCTTGGAAACAACCAAGATGCCCAGCACCTGAGGAATGGTTGAAAAAGATGTGGTATTTTTACACAATGGAGTATTATGCAGCTATTAAGAAAGATAAACTGCAAGCCTTTATATTGAAGTGGATGCCACTTGAACATATACACATAAGTGAAATAAACCAGACACACATGTGTAAATATCGTATAATCTCTCTAGTATAACTCCAAAGAAGAAATACAAATAGAAAGATATAACACAAGTAAAAGGAAAGCAGGATCTCAAGCACTAACTAATCAAGAGAGGGAAAGGAGAAGAGCTAGGAAATGTGACTATGTCAAGCCATACAGTTATATGTAAAAGATGAGCAAGGCAATGATCCTGAGAATATTCAGAAGATTTTTTAATCTAGCAGTTAATTGGAATGATTCTCACCCTAACTCTTTATACTGCTACCTGTGAACTAAGGTACTGCACTGCAGATGGTAATTTGTAATAGTAGTTTCATGCTTGGAGTGCCTGTCATTCTGGTATTCTGAATACGGGGTGCTTGTCATGACATGCCAGTTACTGCTATGATGTCTCTCGGGTAGGTGGATGTTCAAGAAGCGGGTGGTGAATGAAAGCAAGAGACAGGAAATGGAATATTGTGGGACTGTCCTGCTTCAATGTTGTGTATAGTGAGATTTTTGGACTTATGTGCAAACAAGAGAAGTATATAATTCTTTATCCTATTTTTAAAATATAATCTAATTTTCAAATGTTTTTTTTAATCATATTACGTAGGGACTTAAAGTTCAACGTATCAATACTTGATGAAAAATGCCTGTTCGTTATTATGCCTAAGATGTTTGAAATGCAGAGAGATAGTGAGGTTAAGTTTAATAGCCTAAGTTGTTTGATAATAACAATAAGCTTGTCTTCTGGATGGTTAACAACCTAAGTTTGCAGACCAAAATTAGACAAAAAGGAGGGCTGCAAGGAAAGCCATCATTTTGGCCCTAGCCTTCCAAGGTCAATTAAGACTCAGGACATATGAGAACTTGTA